TACAGTTGAGATATTAGGACCATACCCAGGGTACGGTTGAGATATTAGGAGCATACCCTGGGTACAGTTGAGATATTAAGACCATACGCAGCGTACAGTTGAGATATTAAGACCATACCCAGGGTACAGTTGAGATATTAGGACCATACCCAGGGTACAGTTGAGATATTAGGACCATACCCAGCGTACAGTTGAGTCTTGTATAGCATGAGCAACACATGATTAGTTGAATGCCATATAGTGAGTACAAGACAGGCTTTAACATATGAAATTTAAGACCTTGTATATGAAAATTCAGACTTAATTTTGAAAAAAATGTCTCTGCTCAGAAAAGTCTGCATTGGTGAATAGCAAGTTACTATTGCACATTTTTGAAATTTCACACATTTTTAAGACATTTCGATACTTCTGCAAAAACAAAAGACTGCGTATTCCAAATTTTTTTTTTAAACGTAAAAATGAAAAGAAGAAATTTCACGAATATAAGTATCTGTAGGAACATGGACACCTTTAGTGGAGCGGAATGGCACATAGATTTTTGGAATAAGGGGAGTGATGTATAGTGAAAGTGAATGGTCGTTATAAATTCTAGGATATAACAGCAAAATCTTGTGATGAAGACAGCTTGAAGGCCAGCTTATCATAATAATACATAAAACTACATGACCCATTTACATTGCAAAATAAACGAATAAGACTATGCACATGCTTCGACTGTTATTGAACATGAACAATCGGCACATATACAATGTATGTTGTTTTTAAATACTATGTTATGTGCTTCAAAAATGTTTTCAGTAAATCATAACTCAATGTTTTTAATCAACAACATTAATTAATGAATAATATCAATGATTACCTCAGTATACATTTTTATTAAGGTCACAAATTACTTCATTTACCAATTTTCAGTGGTTTTGGTGTTCAGTTAAAGAGGGGTATTCACTGTACACAAAACCTCCAAAAACTGAACATGTCTAGACACTGTCCAATTTTCTGAGTCCTTTTGGTGTTCGGTTAAGAGCAGTTTCTCTGTACACAAGACTTTTATGAACTGAACATGTCTAGAATAAGATCTGATCAATTCTTGATATCCAAATCAGATACAATTTTCTCTGCCCTTAAAAAATATGAAAATATGCAGGTTCGTTTTTTTGTTCAAGTAGGATTGTGATATGAGTTAATAGTTCAAAGATGATGGTACTTATACTTGAAGATTTTTTTTTTCACTGCAAGTTAGAAACATGAATGAGTAGTGTACGACAACCCTGTTGTTCAGAATCAGTCATACCTTCTGGTTAAAAACTATCAACAAGATATCAATTCGGGAGTCAGGAATTGTCAGTCTTTTCAATATTCAGTTACAACAACACATTTATCTAGAATCTGAATAATTTTCAATTTGTTAATCGGCGGTTTAGAGATTTCACTTTATATTGCCATATTAAGTGTTTTTGTAAAGATGCAATAGGAATAAGTGAGCACTTTTCTCATAGTTTTGTATTCAAAATAATTTATCAATTTAAAAATACTACTTTAAAATATTATACATTTATAACGGCGGGTTTGTTGTTCACCATTATCTGGTAGGATTAAGAATTGAATTTGTAGTTGATCGACAAACTGTGGTAAGTGTTTTCTCATCACTAATACAAAGCAAATTACAGATTATTACAGATCTTTCTCACCCTCAGGATTAAATGTTCACGCCACAGAAAATAGATAATATTTAGAGAATAATTCTTTGAATTTTATCCCTGTGTGTGCATTGGATTCTATAGTGACAAAAATTCTTCAAATCTCAAAAATGTGCTCGATGACATTGGATATTAAATATTCCAAGTTTTCCAACAATAATCATTTAATTTAGAAAATTTCCATATTGAAATTTTTTTTCTATTGCATCAACAGGGAAATTCTCTCATAATTCATTACCCTAGATTGGTAATGTAAAAAGGCTCATAGTAAAAAACTGCTTCAATAAATTTCACCAAAACTTTAAATATTTAGTTTCATAGGTGTAATTTTGAAAAAAAAGACAGTAAGACTCTTGCTCCATGCTAGTTACATATAAATTCTGCCTACATGCCATTGTTAGCCAAAACATATGAAAAGGAACAAACCTATCAAAGGTATAACTGAACAAACTCAAGATAATTTAATGCTGCAAAAATTACCCAAGATGTCCACATAGCATCCTTAATACTATAGCAGTACTGAACTCATCCATTCCTATCAGGTTGTCTTTCATAAATAAGTTAGAGTTCAGAAGATTCTTGGTGTGAAGTCACTCCATCATTTCAAGCTGAAAAAGAGAAATTCAGTAATAAGAACTTGACAATGAGAAATATCCATTGCTAATGACATTTACAAAACCATTCACATCATTATTAAATACACTTACCAAATCATTTGCATAATTATTCCTAATAACACTTAAATAACAAATCACCTGTATCATCATCATTCTTAACAACACTCACCAAATTATCCACATAATCATTTTTAATGACACTTACAAAATCATTTACATCATTATTAAATACACTTACCAAATCATTTGCATAATTATTCCTAATAACACTTAAATAACAAATCACCTGTATCATCATCATTCTTAACACTTACCAAATTATCCACATCATCATTTTTAATGACACTTACAAAACCATTCACATCATTATTAAATACACTTACCAAATCATTTGCATAATTATTCCTAATAACACTTAAATAACAAATCACCTGTATCATCATCATTCTTAACAACACTCACCAATTTATCCACATCATCATTTTTAATGACACTTACAAAACCATTCACATCATTATTAAATACACTTACCAAATCATTTGCATAATTATTCCTAATAACACTTAAATAACAAATCACCTGTATCATCATCATTCTTAACAACACTCACCAAATTATCCACATCATCATTTTTAATAACACTTACAAAACCATTCACATCATTATTAAATACACTTACCAAATCATTTGCATAATTATTCCTAATAACACTTAAATAACAAATCACCTGTATCATCATCATTCTTAACAACACTCACCAAATTATCCACATCATCATTTTTAATGACACTTACAAACCATTCACATCATTATTAAATACACTTACCAAATCATTTGCATAATTATTCCTAATAACACTTAAATAACAAATCACCTGTATCATCATCATTCTTAACACACTCACAAATTATCACATCATCATTTTATGACACTTACAAATCAT